AATATGTTGGTTTCTCGCAATAACGTATGCAAATCGCACAAGTTCAAAGGCCCAGGGTTTGCTTGTTCCAAGGGTCGCGATTAAAATCACCAGTTCAAAAATTCCCCAAGTTAAAATCCTCCATCTTCCCAAACCCCACCTCCTTTGTTTACAGCCCCTTCACTTTCACCCATCCAGATTATCCTACGTGTACTGCCATGATCTCTTCTTCCTCCCTCCGTCTATTCCACTTTACATCATCACGTACTTTCCTGTACCTCGAGCCTCACGCGCCATTAATGCCTTCGCCAGTTGGTTTCTTTCCTCAACGGTTGGCCGCCACATCGGTTGGTCACCCTCCTTGTTAATCAGTCACCCCCCTCAGCAGTCGGCCACCTTCCTCCGCGATCGGCTACCACCTTGGTCAGTCGGTTGGCCATCTTCCTCAGTGGTCGACCACCATATCAGTCAACCACCCTCCTCGTCGGGCGGCCACCTCCCTTCGTAGTCTGCCACCTACCTCCTCGGTCGGTCACCCTCCTTGCTGGTCGATCATCTTCCTCTTCGGCCGGTCACCCTCCTCACCGGTCAGCCACCCTCCCTAGCGGTCGGCTACTACCTCGATCTGTCACCTTCCTTCGCGGTCGGCTACCACTCCTGTCGGTCGGCCACCTTCCTCAGTGATCGACCACCACATCGGTCAGCTACCCTCCTCGTCGATAGGCCACCCCCCTTAATAGTTGGCCACAACCTCGATCGGCTACCGTCCTTTGCGGTCGGCTACCACCTCGGTCGGTCAACCACCTTCCTCAGCGGTCGACCATGACATCGGTCAGCCACCTTTCTCCTCGGTCGGTCACCCTCCTCGCTGGTCAGCCACATTCCTCCTTGATCGATCACCCTTCTCACTGGTCAACCACTTTCCTCTTTGGCTAATCACCCTCCTCATCGGTCCGCCACCCTCCCCAGCAGTTGACTACTACCTCAGTCGGTCACCTTCCTCCTCAGTCGGCCAACTTTGCCATTCAATCGGCCACCTTCCTCCGCGGTAAACCCCGACGCTAGGTCGACCACCACACTAGTCGACTCTTTCTCTCATTCGACCACCAGATCTTTTTGGCATCTTAGAGGACTACTCTTTTCTTTCTTATTCCTTTCGTTGGATTAAAATTACACTCGAGAATGGGGGACTATTGATACTAATGGGCATCCTTCTTACTAATAGGCACCCAAGAAGGCCCAACTCATAGCGAGGTTCAACCCAGAGCCCAGGTGTCAAAGGCCCAGTAACTCTGAGAAGCAAGTGCTGGGCCAGGACCACCGACATTCAAGCACCCGGCAAGCAGGGAGTTAGCCATGTAAGTAGACAAAGATCTTGTAAAGTTATTGCACCCGCATCAGTCATTTAATGAGGCCACCATAGCATTAAATGCGGCAAGACCCCTCATGTCGGAGTGGTAGAATCACCATGAACGATGTCAACTAGGCTATAGACTTTCAGCCAACAAGACAATTTGGAGTGGATAAGGAAATGATGAGCAAAGGGTATAAGGAAGCTTTCGGGACACGTTAAAGGTTAAGTTTTTCCACCCCTTACTCTTCTTTTCTCTCTCTCTCAATCTACCCCAACCTAACTTGATCATCGGAGTGTCCGTCGGGAGACTACGTCCCCTTTTGGACCGTTTTGCAGGCACACCCCCTTGTCTTTCAGGGCCAGCAGATCCGTTGGAAGTGTGGATCAGTCTGACCTATCCTTTGCTGAAGGAAAGAGCTTCATCACTATCTATATTTATAGCATATATTAAGCAAAAGGGATTTATTATTAGTTTCAAAGCATTAATCTAAATTTTTTAATTTTTTTAAAAATGTGTGAACATTAAGAAATACCAATGGCATGGAAATATTAGTCCATCTAATCATATTTATAATCTTAGAATTTAAAAATCTTACTAATATAGAAAGTTTTAAAAAAAGTTATATCTAACTCATACCTACTTTGAAATTTAAAAATCTTTGAAATAAAATTTCAAATATAATTTTAGTCTTATATAATTTCAAATTTTAAAAATATTTACTTCAAAATTTTATATTTTAGTTTTTGAAACTAAACAATACATGTGGTGTAAAAAATTAAGAATTTTTTAGGTGTCAAAATATTTATAGCACATTTATTAATTAAAAAAGAAATATCGCATGATACATGTAAACATAAATTAAAAAAATACATGTATAGTGTAATTTTTTATGCCATATCAAAAAATACGTGTGTCGTCTTTATTTTTATATTTTAACCATAGCTAAGTCTTCTATTTAAAAAATAAAAAATAAAAATGTCTAGCATAAGATATACGTGGTATAAAATTATTGGTCAATATATCTAATCTTTTTTTTGGTCAAAATTTAAAGTAAAATTTTGTAGATGAAAAATAAGAAAATTAACATATTTAAATTGCATTTAATTTGAGGTTTAAAAAATGAGTACAAATAAAATTTATTTATCTATAATTTAAAAATATTTAAATAGAAACTATGAATGAAATTTTTAGCTATATATAATTGGTCAAACTTTAACATAACAAAAAAATTGAAAAACCTATAGGACGACATGTATTTTTATTTTATCATAATTATATTTTTATAATTTATTCTATTTTTTTCACCATTACCAAAAAAATTATGACATCTATTTTTTATTAATAACATAAATATATAATTAATGACATAATAACTGCAATATATATATATATATATATATATAATATTCTAATGAAATAGTTAAAATTTAATATTTAATTTTAAAATTAATCTTTAAATTGTATGTGATATGCTAGTAGTATTAAACTAAAAGGGATTAATGTGATTGTAGTCACATGAATGAATGATGCAGGTGAATAGGAAGAGGTTTTGTTTGGATATTTTGGACTAAAATAGTATTAAAAGAAAAAATAAATTAAAATTAAAATAATTAATAAGATAAAATGTCATATTAAATTTATAATTATTTTATTTTTTTCTCCCATAAATATCATATTTAATTATAAAAATATCAACTAACTTTTCAAAAATAATTATTAAAATGGGAAATTTGGCTATAAACCCTCTTTACCTTCCTTTCATTGTTAGAAGGACTAAGAAAAAAATTATACTTTCTAAACCCCCTCATAATTATAAAATCTTGCATAAAGGACAAAATTTATTATTTAAATATTTTATCAGACTATTATACCCTCACATATACACAATCCAGATACAAAATTTATCTTCTCTCTCGTCTCTCACTTCTAACCCTAGCTTTCTCCATGGCCGGACCTGTGTCATTCCTAAGCTCCGACGATCTCTCTCTGCCTCTTCTCAACTCTCCTCCTTCAACTCTCCTTCAACTGTTCATTTTCTATCTCGTCTCTCTCTTCTAATCCTAGCTTCCTCCATGGCCGGAGCTGTGGAGAACTTACAAATCGCGCTGATACATATATATATATATATATATGTGTGTGTGTTTGTGTGTTTTGAGATTTGAATTCGAATATATAGATTTTTGAAAGCTCAAAGTTTTAAAAATCTGAAAAATCTGTAAAATCTGAAAAATCTGAAGAACCAGGGTATGAAAAATTGAGATTTCTCTAAAATTTTTAGATTATAGGCATGATTCAAAGATTATAGGCATGATTCAATGTTTTTCAAAGTAAACATCGATTGATTCAAGGATTATAGGCCTGATTCAAAGCTCAAAGCTCAAAGTTCCATCGATTTTTTAGAGTAAACATCAAATTTCATTTGATAGAACTAGAGTAAAATTTTACTCTGTATTGGTCAAAATTTCCGTAAGAATTTGCTCGTACACATATCTATATTGGTCAAAATGAGGAGGAGAATGTTGAGTGGTGAGATAGTGTTGCTTAATCTCCCATGGATCTACCATCCATTGTATATCAGCAGTATCAATGTAGAGGACAGTTTCCTCGGTGATGGTATTCTGGAAATAAGAATTGTCTGGAGCCAAAAGGACATCTTTAGCAGTCTTGCTAGAAGATTCCCTGGGAGTACTGGATTGGCCAAATAATGGCGGAAATTCTGTATTATAGGGGTTAGAACCCCTTCCACGGCCCCGTCTGGCGGAGCCCCAGCTTCTACCCTACATGAGATTTCTGCAAATATTCACGGGTAAGAAAATCAGGAAGGGAATTAGTTTCACATTTAATATATTCAATATCAAAATCAAAAGCAGAAAGTGTAGATTGCCATGAGGCAAAAATTTGTCTTTGGGCTAAGTTAGCAACATCCTTTTTAAAGATTTGTTTGGCGGCAGAACAATCAACTCGTATTAGAAACTGTTGATTTAACAAATCATCTTGAAATTTTAGAACACATCTAACAATGGCTAAACATTCTTTTTTAATTGTCGGATATCTTTTGGCTGCATCATGCCAAATACCAGAATGAAAACGTTTACTCTGGTTCTATTGCTCTGTTTTTTTCATTTGACAGAACCAGAGTAAAATTTTACTTTTATACAGAGTAAAATTTTGCTTTTAGCTTCAGAGTCTTACAGTGTACTTATTTTTCAAAGTAAAATTTTACTTTTATATAGAGTAAAATTTTACTTTTAGTTTCAGAGTGTAAAATTTTACTCTCATGCATAGTAAAATTTTACTTTTAGTTTCATAGTGTAAAATTTTACTCTCATTCATAGTAAAATTTTACTTTCATATAGAGTAAAATTTTACTCTGAAATACATAGTGAAAATGTCTTAATAAGAGAGCTGATAGATATGAGGGTAATATAGTAAAAGAAACAAGTTTTAAAATATCAGGGAGTTTTGAAAGTACTTATATAATTCATGTCCTTTTGAAAGAGAAATTAGATAGTGAGGAGGCTATGACCAAATCCCCTATTAAAATAATCAAAAATTAAAATAACCTATAAAAATAATCAACTTCTCAAAGGGGCTAAGGTAATTACTGAGGTTATTATGGTAAAATGAAAAACACTGTTTCACTTGATAAGGTCTCCTACTATTTCAGAGCTTTCAAAAAACACCCCAACCCCCACTCTCACACAAGCTTGAGAGGCAAATGGCTTATCATCTCTGCTCTTCCCCATCTTCTCGGCCCCCTCACGACCACCCTCTCTTCTGCAACTCTCTCTCTCCTCCATTCTCGCTCAAACCCACACCTTTTCGTCCTTCTCTCACTCTAAAACACTCCATGCACCCTTTCTCTCTCCATTCAAGAACCTCTCTCCAAATCGGCCGAGTGTCTGTTCAAGACCCAATTTCAGAAGATACCCAGAACTCAAATTCCTCTGAATTTCCAAATTCTGATGAAAAGATCAGTTCTTCGTCCAAAAGCTACATATGGGTCAATCCCAGAAGCCCCAGAGCTTCGCAGTTTCGTCGGCAATCGTACGATTCCAGGTATTCTTCTCTTGTTAGAATCGCTGAGTCTCTGAATTCATGTAACCCTACTGAGGATGATGTTTTCAGTATATTGGTTGGTTTGGGCGAGAAAATTGTAGAGCAAGACGGTGTTGTTGTTCTTAATAACATGTCCAACCCTGAAACAGCGCCTATTGTGCTAAAATACTTTCAAGGGAAACTTAAATTGAGTAAAGAAGTGATTCTTTATAATGTGACATTGAAGGTGTTCAAGAAATGTAGGGATTTAGATAGAGCAGAGAAGCTGTTCGATGAAATGCTCCAGAGAGGAGTCAAACCAGACAATGTTACATTTTCGACCATAATTAGTTGCGCTAGGTTGTCATCTTTGCCAAAAAAGGCTGTGGAGTGGTATGAGAAGATGTCGCTGTATGGTTGCGAACCCGATGATGTTAATCACGCAGTGATGATCGATGCCTATGGACGGGCTGGTAATATTGACATGGCTTTGAGCTTGTATGACCGTGCCAGAGCGGGAAAGTGGAAGATTGATGCTGTGACATTCTCAACTTTGATAAAAATTTATGGGATGTCGGGGAATTTTGATGGGTGCTTGAATGTATATGAGGAAATGAAAGCACTGCGCATTAAACCGAACTTGGTTGTATATAACACATTGTTGGATGCGATGGGAAGAGCCAAGAGACCTTGGCAAGCCAAATCTGTTTACAATGAGTTGATAAAGAATGGGTTTACACCGAATTGGGCAACCTATGCTGCACTACTTCGGGCCTATGGAAAAGTTCGCTATGGTGAAGATGGCATCAATGTGTATAGAGAGATGAAGGGGAAGGGAATGGAATTGAATGTTACCCTTTACAATACCATTTTAGCCATGTGTGCCGATGTAGGGTATATTGATGAAGCTGTTGAGATTTTTGAGGATATGAAGAGATCCGAGACTTGCAAGCCTGACAGTTGGACTTTCTCATCCTTGATTACTATATACTCCTGCAGTGCGAAAGTCTTGGAGGCAGAGGCCATGTTGAACGAGATGTTGGATGTGGGTTTTGAGCCTAATATTTTTGTCCTGACCTCACTCATTCAATGCTATGGAAAAGCAAACCGAACAGATGATGTTATTCGGACATTTAATCGTGTTTTAGAGCTAGGCATAACACCTGATGATCGGTTCTGCGGTTGTCTTCTGAATGTGATGACCCAAACACCGAAGGAAGGACTCAGTAAGATGACCAACTGCATCGAGAAGGCTAATTCAAAGCTTGGTTACGTGGTGAAACTCATCGTGGAGGATGAAAACGTAGAAAGGGAGATTTTTAGGAGGGAAGCTCATCAACTCTTTAATTCGATTTCTGCTGATGTTAAAAAAGCTTACTGCAATTGCTTAATTGATCTCTGTGTTAATCTCAACATGTTAGAGAGAGCTTGTGAGTTGTTAGACCTAGGGGTTACACTTGAGATATACATGGATATACAGTCAAAGTCTCTGACACAATGGTCTTTACACTTGAAGAGCCTCTCTCTTGGGGCAGCTCTGACTGCATTACATGTTTGGATGAATGACTTGTCCAAGGCATTGGAAAATGGAGAGGAGTTTCCATCATTGCTTGGAATCAATACAGGGCATGGGAAACACAAATATTCGGACAAAGGTTTGGCAGCAGTGTTTGAATCACATCTGAAGGAACTAAATGCTCCATTCCATGAGGCCCCTGACCAGGTTGGCTGGTTTTTGACGACAAAGGTTGCAGCCAAGTCATGGTTGGAGTCTAGATGCTCCCCTGAGCTAGTTGCTGCACAGATACTGCCCTCGTAAGGGTTTCATCTTCCAAAAGTAGCTTTTATTGTTATAAGATCTCTAGAAACAGTAAAAGGTGTGTCCAGAATTCTCCTTTCCTGTCTGTTTGCCTAATCTAACTCTCATGGTAGAGAAAAATTTTGTACTACTACTACTACTACTACTACATGCAAACAGTCCATTCACACTAGGCTGATTTATTGCTTATTTTACTTGAATGTGTCGATAGAGTTAATGAATCACCAGTGACTTGAAGGCAAGTTCTTTATCATCAATGGGTGTTATGAATATTGTTTCACAAATCTATTCTCATTTGACATCCTACTATTAGCTTAGTGGTAGCTCAGATGTTAACATGGTATTTGTCTATTTGGAGTAGTTTGCTTCTTGTGAAACACAAGGAATGGTAACAAGCACATAGAACACGTATTTGATGCCTTGCGTGATTTCCATTCAGTTAGTAGAGAATGGCTTCAACCCCTATCTATTGATTTTCCGTCGTGCATATTATGCACAAATATTACCTTCCCCAAAGACCCTGCACGAACAGGAGCCTCGTGCACTAGAATTGCCCGTTGTAATTTATGCTGTTGCTTTTTCTTTCATGTTGTGTCTTGGACTAGAGAATCATCAATTTGAGCTTTTTCCATATTTCTCGCTTTGGATGGGAGGGACAGTCAGCAACCGTCTTAACTTTGCATCCCTCCACTCATCCTCAACACAACTCAAACCCCCCAAAAAACATGATAACCTGAAAACAATATAAAAGAAAAAAGAAGTAAAATATGTTGCATTTTTCTCCCTTTTTTGGCTAATAAATCACTGGCCTAAAAAAAGAAAACCTAAAAAAAATAGTAAAATATTTGACTTCATGGTTTTAAATCCCTCTAAAGGTTGACCTTTTGCATCTCACGTGCCCTTGTGTGGGGGGGGGGGGGGGGGTTGGTTTGGGTGCATTATAGAATGATGCTCTGCTTAGCTCTTTGACTCTGCAATGGTTTCAATAATAAGAAAATGTGAGTCAAATCTTATTTAAAATTTGAATCCACCCTCCCCCAAGTAGCTCAACCATACAGTTACAATGCACAACAAAACGAGTCATATATATATATATATATTACAGCTATAAGATGGCCTGCACGTTAAGCTGCCGGAGACATGACATCGACAAAAGTAACACTATATATATTTGAGAGAACTTAGTCCTTGGATTCATGCACAATGGGTAACTGCATACATGTATTGCTGTCTTCACCACAGAAGAAGAGCAAAGTTCTAATCATTGATGGAGTTGAAGAAGAGTTCAAGGCATTGACTCTGGTTGAAAAAGCACCTCTGGCCCCCTACAAAGGCCATAAGCTTGTACATCGTGCTCAGTCCGACTCACCATTGCCACCCAAAGCCAAGCTCAAATCCGGGGAGGTTAACTATCTCGTGCCACACTTGGGACGTCCATGTAACCCTCCATTTTTGAGGAAAGTGGTTGTTGGCAATAGTTGCAGAGGCTGGAAAGTGAAGATTGTAGTGACAAAGGAGCAGTTGGAGTTGATGATGAGCAGCGTAGAGTGCCAATCGCGAAATGTTGCAATTCAATCTTTATTGGGAAGAAAAGAGTGTCAGAAATGGCGGCCATCTTTAGCCACAATTCCCGAGTAGTAGAATTGTTTGAAAGATGGGAAAAGAATCTTTTTTTGTTACTTTTCCTTTACTGCATTCAACCCCATTTTCCATGGGGTGGTTGTGTATATATGCTGCATAAAAATGGGAGATGGAGAGTTGTTTTTGTTTTTTGTATTTCATAATGTGATTAATTTTGGTTTTGGTGGTCAAGAGAGAAGGTTTAGAATAATATCATAAGAAACAGTTTCATGAGCTCAATTCTCCTTTGTAAATGATTCTGTATCATAGTATATAAAGACATAAACATGGCTGGCTTGGATCAGTAATGAGAGGAATTCAATAAAAACATTTTAAATATTCTTCCATAGCAAAAATGTTCTGGTTTCATCTGTTAAAAAAAAAAACAAAAAAAATTTCAATTTTTGACCAATAACTTTTCCCAGTGTTTTCCATTTCTACATAGCGCCTAATTAGGTGTTTATCTGTTTTCCCCATATCTTATCCATTCATTTGTATTCTGTATCCGATTATGTGATTGGTTTATGTGTTCATAGCAAGAACTGTTTCCATATCCCACATTGTTTTGCTATCTAACACACCAAACAGTTAGCCATGGAAATTCACAAATACAATCAATCAAACATTGTTTTGAATATATCATTTGTGCAAATCTCAAGCGGGGAATGACTCCAATAAACATCATACCCAGGATGTTACAAAGTCACCTTCCCTATTTTCAAACCAAATCGGAACATTATTTCAACTCTTTAGCATCACTCAAATGTTATTCATACGCTGTTGATAAAGCACTACTGATTTGCAGTCCCTACAACTTCAACTTCAACTTCAACTTCAACTTCGTCTCACCAATGGTATCTTCAAGATGATTTCGTAACCCTAGTACAGTTGAAACCAACCAAAGCGGTTAATAATGACATTTGAACAGCATTCCCAAAATCATAAATTCTGTTTGGCAGGTTAGAAAATCAAAACCAAGCTAACAGAAACAATCACATCGGTGCAGGGAAAATTTTACTGACCTTTTCAAGGAGTCTGTGTTTCTAATCTTTTTGTTATCTTCCATCTTAACCAACACTGATTCCTTCTCTCTCGTGGCTGCTTCTCTTTTCATTTTCTTAAACTCTACTTCAATCGCTTTTGTCAATGTGTCAACCTTCTTCATGAGCATCTAGAAATCAAAGTAGCACATAGATTCAATATTGAGAGGAATAAGTCCACGAACACAGAAACCGGTCACAGAACAGATTGTGTAAAATCTTGTCTATTCATGTGTATTCTGTGATCGGTTTCTGTTTTCTTAGCAGAACTGTGTTGAGAGATACTTCACCTTGAGTTCTTCATCTTTAGCATTCAAAGTACCATCTTTTGCCTCGCAAGACTTCCTTAAGGAGATGACCTCTTTCTGAAGCCTATCATACAAAAACCCCGAAACCACATCATCACTATTACATCCTTTAGTATGTGACTCTCCATTGCCTCCATTTTTCATTTTGAAGTCCCCTGAAACCGCAATTTCATTGTCCTTAAACTTACCAACATTCACAGTGGTGTTTTCATTGATCTCCTTGTTTTCTTTTTCGCCACTGTCAACAACCTTACTTCTAGATGCCCATATACTTTTCCTCAGCAAATTTTCTCCTGAGCCATGTTTCTTTTTCAAGCTATTAACTTGTTTCAGTTCTCCGTTAGCATCATTAGTCACTTCATTTTCTATATTTGGCTGCCTCAGAGGAGAGCTTTTCCTAATGGTGGAAGCTCTTGGCTGTGATGTAGATAGCTTCTTTAAAGCATTGTTGCTTGATAAGAACGCAAAGATGTGATTTGATTTTCCAGGTTTTGGAGACCCACAAAATGCATTAGGATTGGCCGAGAAACTTGACACGTGCTTTAATCCTTCTTCCAAGGTCTTTAGCCTCAACTTAAGTTTGTCCTGTCGAGCAAATTCACATCAATGGGGACAATTTTATGATTTGGTTTCGTTTTTAGTATCTGTTTTTTGAAAATACTAAAAACTAATTTACCTTGATTTGTGCTTCTGCATTAGCTGTCCTCTCTGATATTACTAACTTGTCTCTTAGCCGTTGCATCTCTGCCTGCAAAACTCACAAAATTCATTATGCTGAAATAAAGATTTTAAACCAAAAAAAAATGTTAGAAATACATGTTTAAAATGAATATTTCCTTGCGTATATGAGATTTTTTGAACTGGGAATTTGAGCAAAAAATTGTGTTCACACGAATATTTGTCATACCTGCAACAACCTTCTCTCTTCGAGCCATTGCTTGACAGGCATAACTTTGTCGTTCTCATCCTTCCACTCATTAGCCACCACAGTCGCAACTCGGTTTGCTGAAACTTTAACCCTCGCTAGCTCCCTTTCCTGTATCCGCTTCTCCTCCTAGAATAACGTGAACAAGCACAATCAGCATTCAAATCAGCACATATCATTAATCCAATGCGAAAACACCTAATCTTACATGTAATTCAGAAATCTGTCGCTGGTAGTCACGAATAGCATTGGCAGCTGCACCACCGGCTAGAATAGCCTCCTCAAGTTCTTTGATGGTTTGGGTAAGCTTTTCGACCTCTAAAACCTTTTGACGATTGGTTTTATCAAGGATCCTGTTCTCCTCCTGCATATTAATTCACTTAAATTGAGAAAATTACTCGAAATTTAGTAATTACTTCAAGGAAAGAATTTTTTTGTTGAAAACCGTACCTGGCAAATTTCAATCTGTCTCTTCAGTTCAAAGTTATGGTTTTGAACCTCCTCAACTATTAAAGCTCTTTCAAGTGCACTTCTCAAAATCTTTTCTGCTTCAAGCAGAGCTGCTTCTTTAGACTTAGAGAGTCGTTCCAAGGCCTTTTTATCTTCTTGCAGTGCTGCAATCTGAGAAAGCCAAAGGAAACATTACAGAAAATGGACAAAAAAAAAAACAAAAACAAAAACAAAAAAACAAAAAGAAAAAGAAACTAAATATGTTGTTTTTTTTTGGTGAATACTAAATATGTTGTTGATCTTCATTTTTGTACCTGATTTTTGAACATTTTAATGTCGGCCTCAAGAGGAGCGATGACAGATTCAATAGGGATAGAATCGTCATCCTTTTGATTTGCGTGCACCCTTCTAAGAGTTGCTTCTGCAGCGTACTGCGCAGCCAATGCTTCTTTTTTCTCACTTGTTAGTTTCTTGATTTCAAGGTTCTGCATTTATCGGATTTTGACAAAAATGAGCATAGAAGCCTAGCAGATAAAGCTATGGCTTTAAGACAATGACATACCTTTTGATCAAGAAGCTTTTCAGCGAAACTCAGCTTCTTGTCCAATTTATTAAATTCATTTGTAAGCTGGAAAAACACATGTAATGGTTTAAATGGAAACCGCAAAATTTCAAGTTTTTAATTCACTCTCCAGACTAGAATTTGTATCGTATCTGTGATCAAAATTTGTAATTATATATACTTAAATTCCACTCAGTACCTCTTCTATAGCTTTGTCCTTCAGGACTTCAGTTGCTCTTAACGCTTTGATTTCGCTTTGAGAATCTCCCAACTCCCTATCCTTCTCTGAAATATGGGTGAAAAATGATTATAATGAGATATACTGAGAAGAAAAAATAAAGAAAAGAGAAGAAATTATTTCTTCCTATTTTTAAAACTCCCTCTACTTGTGCAAGTCTAATGTTGTTTTTCACTAGAATCTCCGGAAGCCAAGGCCAACTATTGTTTTCCAAAAGTGTTTTTTAGCAACCTCATCTTAGTTTTTCAATTCATCTGCTCAAAACCAGGAGTTCCTAATCTCATGAAACAAAGTCACTTCATTCGACAGAAGAGAATGAGAAGCTTAATCTTTCTCTCTGAAGCAAAACGAGCATTGCTTTTTATCACTTTTCAATATAATATCTCTAAATCTGGTACAGATTATCCCCTTTAAGCTGCTAAACACATTTAGTTCTGTCCAAAATAACAGGCCAAAAATGTATTTCTTCCCTTCGCAATCAACATCATTGCCCTCCCTAGATCCTGCTCTAGCGGAGTACATTGACCTTCCCAAATCCTTCTTTAACGGAAGTCTCGTGCACTAAATCTCCTTTTTAAAATGGATACATGTCATGAATAAAAATGCCACAACTCCAAATTACATTTTAACTAGATAAATGGCAATCAATTATGTGGCCACACCATCTCTTGACATGCAGGCCTACCTAAATGCCAATATAGATTATGTGTCACTATCAGAAGTCCTAGGACCACTTCAACTATCACTAAAAGACCAGTGAACTGTGCATGATGTCCATGGAAATGGGCAATTGGAAGGTGGGAAGACTTAATTAAGAGCAAATATGTACAGTGTTCACCTTTAATGCTGTGTTTGGTTGGGGGATTTGGGGAGAGATTTGAAAAGGAAAATGGAAAAGGTAGGTGAAATGTGAATAAAACATTCCTATATTTCACCTAGTTTCACACACCTTTTCCCTTTCCCTTTCCAAATCCCTCCCCAAATCCCCCAACCAAACAGTCTCCCTCGATAATGTTTAGTCAACACAGTTGGGATGGGATAACATGTGGCTTATTTCAGCGCATTATGGATTAAAAAAATAGTTTATCATTTTTGTCCATTTCTTTGGTGTTTCCTAAAAAATTTATGTTTGCATCACATTTGGTATGATGGAAATCAAAGTATATGAAAAATATTTTGTGATCAACCAAAAATAATTTTTGAGCAAACACTTTGTTTTACTTTTTAAAAGTGATTTTTTTTTTTTTTCTAGATGAAAACTACCATCACCCTCACTGCCAGTCCCACCAAAATTTATAAAATTCTCATTAGTCCCATACAACATTAAATATTTATAAGACAAATTAGTATTTTGACCTTTCAGAATATATATACTTTTACTTCAACCCTCTCAAATTTCACAAAAACCTCAATAGTCTCATGTAATTTTTTAGTATTGATTAAAAAAACAGCATTTTGGCCCCACAAAATTGTATATAATTTTTTGGGTTAATTATAAAAAAAAATGCCCAAGGTTTCACCGTTTTTCACTTTAAACTCCAATATTTCAATTTCAACAAATTAAATGCTGGAGTTCCATCACTATTTCAATTTGCCCCATTCGTCCACCTCCATCTATGTAAGATAACGAAAGGGGTTTAAAGTGAAAAACACTGGAATTTAAAATGAAAAACACAAGGAACCTTGGGGTTTATTTTGTAATTAACCCTTTTATTTTATTTTTTTGTTTTTACTGATTTTAATTTTAAAAAAATTGTTAATTACACAAAAAACCCCAAGATTTTACTCATTTTTCACCTTAAACCCTAGTATTTCAATTTCAACAAATTAAACTCTGGAGTTCCATCTGTGTTTCAATTTGCCCCCTTCGTCCATCTCCATTTGTGTAAGGTAATGGAGAGTTTAAAGTGAAAAACACTTGGATTTAAAATGAAAAATGCATGAAACCTTGGGTTTTTTTTGTTGTTGTTGTAATTAAACTAATTTTTTACTTTGACCCTTTCAAAATTAAAGAATTTTGCTGTGGCCCCATTTTACACAATTTATGGGCCCCATTGCCTCCACCACCACCATGCAAAAGTGACTCAGTCAGTAACACAGTCGCCTAGGGCCAACAAGAAAATTTTTAAAAATTATTATTATCAGAGGTTCTAAATTTTCAAAAACTCAGTTGGATAAAGTTTTATTTTGATATTTAACCTGTAACCTTAAAAAACTTTAGGCCTCCATTGCCGCCAACAACACATTAATACCATTACTGCCAGAATCACTGGCACATTAAAATCACAATTAAACACTAAATTAAAAAAAAATATATTATGAAAAATAATTTTCACCAAAGTAAACGAAGTATAATAATATGTTAATTGGCTCTCTCAATCATAAGTCTGTATCCTTTGTGGTTTAGTATTGAAACAATTATCTGGTCACCAAATACAGCAATCCAAATAAGTGAATAACTAAAACATCCTCAATTCCTCAGTACCTAACACAAACACACACACACACACAGAGAGAGAGAGAGAGAGAGAGAGACCTTTGAGTTGGTCGTGCAATCTATTGAGCTCTAAGACAAGAGGGTCAGGGTGAGCAAGAGGAACAGGAAGCTCTTCACCAATTTCCACCATTCCCAACATTTCTTTTTTTTGCTCACTTTCTTTGTTTTTGGTTGGTTCTCTTTTGGTGATTTTGCAAATGCAAAGTACACAAACCCAATAATGACAACCAAATCAAGGTTTATGGGTTTAAATAAGAAGAGGGTGGATGTGAGAGAGAGAGAGAGAGAGAGAGAGAGAGAGAGAGAGTGTCCAATCTTTAAGGAATTGACCACAAAGAGAGGGATGATGGACTTCCCTTGCTATGAAGCAAAATTTGAAAGTAACAAATCACAAGCCAGCCCAGCCGGCTTCCCACCCCCCTCCCTCCAGCCGTTACTTTTTTAATTATGTCTTTATCCTACTTTATTATATAGATATAATATAATTAATAAATAAAAATCATCATTTGTCTCTTATAATTTTCAAAACACATTCTTCATTTCAACTTTCTTGTTTATTTATTTATTTATTTTTTGTCAAAAGAAGGAAGAGAAACTGTATTCATAATAAGAAAACTCGAATTCAAGCGTCACGCTTGATAAAATAGTGTCTCATTAATCTTAATTTCAAATGTTTTTCTAGATTGTAATTCATAGACCCTGATTCATCTTATAAGTGAAATTCTTTTTTTTTTTTTTCTTTTTATTTGGTACGACATTTTTACTTTTGGGTATAACTTTTGTTAAATGCTGTGTTTTTAAGCTAATGTAACGTTTTATGTCTGAAACATATAATTATATTGGTTTAAATGTTACATAATGAGGAAGATTGTGCAAGAAATCTACTTGTGTGGTTATAGCGTTTCAATTTTTTATTTTCTATCACAAGGGTGTCCAGAGCTTTGTGGTATGGGATGGGGTGGGGTGGGGTGGGGGGATGGAATAAATGTATGGCTGCAGCTAGGATTAACAAACTAGAATTGTAAAATTTAGAATTACATCCATAATTGTTGTGGTTTCACTATGATTAAGAATGTTATAAGCAAGATAACCACATACATGCCTCTTCCCTCAACTACATATGCATAAAATTAGAATAGAAGCTTTTATTTGCACACCACGCATAATTATGTTTTTTTTTTTTTTTTTTTTTCTTTTGCTATTTTTTCTTTTTCTTAATCTTCATAATTTAGTTTCCATAATATCCTTATTTTTAATCTTCAATCTTTCATCCTAACCCTAATCCCAGCCTTTACTATAAAGCCACCCCTCCCCTCACCACCTCCCAAGCCTTTCCCTAACCCTATCATCCTTCCTCCTCTCCTTCCACCCACAACATTTCCTGTCGCCTCCTCTCAGGTCTTTCTTAACCCTATTGTCCTTCTTTAGTCCATTTCTTCCAATGCCACCACCACCCCCTCCTTCTTGCCAATCCCCTCCTCAAACCTAGCACTACCATCACAATCCAACCCCTCTAATACCACCATGACAAAAAGGTTTTCAAAGGCAGAAAAAGAAGAACGTGGTGTTCACAAGGAATGGAGAGGGGCAAGTTTATGTGTTGGGATGGTGGAATAGATTGGGGCAATGCCCAAGGTGGGAATAAGGGGGTTGCAATGGTTCTGGAGAAAGGGTAGAGTGGTTGCAGTGGTGGGAAAAGGCGACGAGAAGGCGTGGAATCATGGTATAGGGTTGGTGGAGAGGGAGATTACGATGGTGGAGGGTTAGAGAGAGGGGGTCATGGTGGTAAGGGGCTTATGAGTAGGTAGTGGTAGCTAGGGGTGTAAATTTGGATCGGCCCGGCCCGACTCATGTCAAGCCTCGCAAGCTCCTGCCAAAATTTGGGCTAGGTCAGGCCGAGCTGGCACACATGCCGAAAAATTAGGCCCAGGCCCAACCCTAGGCCTAAGAGTATTCGGGCCTTGGGCCTAGGCCTAACCTAGGGCTTAGGCTGGGTTTAGGTGGGCCTAACCAATTTTTTTTTGTTTTTTTAATTTTTTTCTACTAAAATTTTATTATTTTCCACTAAAAAAGGCATTGGGCTTCAAGCGGGTCGGGTCTTGAGTGGGCCTTAAGCGGGCGAATGGGCTGGGCTGAGCTTCAAAATAATGGCCTAGGCCCTAGACCAGGTGCTTGGGCTGGGCTCAGGCTCGGACCCAAACGGGTCAGGCCCATCCAGGGCCGCGGGCGAGCTTCGGGCCACCCACAGGCCGCAGGCCATTTTACAATCCTAGTGGTAGCTAATGATAGAAGTAGTGTGATAGCTGAAGTTATTAGTTGGTCTAAAGGCAACGCCACGTGGTATTTCATATTCATTATGATTGGTGGAGGAGATGGGGCCTATGATTTTGTGTTGGGTGATTGGAAAACATGAAGAGTTATGATTGTTTGTGATTGATTAGGGACATAGTCATGTGGTATTCCTGGACCACCTAATAATTTTTTGTGATAGCTAGGGTTTGTGTAGACGATGGTTTGTGCTATTGTCCAAAATGATAATTTGCTTGAGGGATAAAATTATAATAAAAAATTCAAAAAAAAAAAATGTGTGCACTTAAAGGAATGGTGATGTGCAAATAGAAGCTCTCAATTAGTACATGTCGCAAGTATAAAAATATTAGAATATCTTTACTCCAATTAATGTTCAATATTTATCCACATACCGTTCCAAACTTGGAGTGAAGAACTAGGTTATCAAAAACATGAGAAATGAAAAGACATATGATGTTCATACCAGTTTGATGAATCTGAAATATTCTATGACAATGTTGGTTGTTAGCATTCAATGGTAGGTGCAAATCTTGAGAACCTTCTAGGATTGTGGTGTAGCTTGGGTGACAAGTGAGACTTTAACTTTGGATATTTATAAAACCTTCTGTGGTAAGCTTAATAAATATAGTCTTACCATACATAATAATTGCAAAAGAATATAAGTAACAGAAGAAAGCTCTTGTTTAGGAATAATTCCATTGCTTGCGCGCTAAATTCTCCTAAAACAATGGTTAGTGACTAAAGTTGGAGCTATTTCAAACAGGGTTTGGATTGAAACTAAGAAAATGAGGTGTAATTGAAAGGACTCATGAAGTGGCTTAAAAGTAGAATATAAACTTAAGATAAATTAAAAAGAAGAGAAAAACTTCACATCTTTGCTTGCAAGTATATGAAGAGAAAATTTCACATCTTGATGACACACTTGCCATTTGGCATTTTTGAAGCATATTTGTTTTGGGGTTAGAAACGAAGGGAAGGAGAATCCACCACAAGTTCACAAACACCCTCGAAAACCCGGCTTTAAATTAGAAAGAACACGACAAAATTGTAAATATGGATCCGAATAATCAAAGTGGTTATTGATTAAGAAGTGGGGTTTTTCATTGTTGATGATGCTAGTTTAATCTCTAATGGAATGCCCACTAACCACTGTTTTATGAAAGTGATGTGAAATGGGATCATGCTAAGCTGTATGAGAAATGTGTGTCTATCATCGTTTGAGTAGGTAAACTATGGTCGAAAAGTGGTTATACATATACCTCAACCTAATAAAATTGTTATGGGAAATTCTAATGTGGACACGCTTAAAAAATGTATATTATTTATACTGTTAGTTATGTTATTTATTTATTTTTTATAATTATTTTTTTTAATTATGACATTATTTTAATTGTGATTCATGAGATTTTTAATTATAACTTATATTATGTTTAGTTATGACATTTTTTTTTTTTTACTTATGATTAAAAAATATGAAATTATGTCAATTTTTTAAAAATTATAAAATGCATATGGTATACACAATTTAAACTAAGATGTCACACATAAGCATGCATGTAGGGATGTCATGTTAGGGTCCATTTTTATCGGACGCCGTTAAATGAAGGTCCATGGTCTATGAAACAAAAACCAATATCATATGATCTAATTAAAGGTTGTTTTAGGTATGGCGTATTAATTATTATTATTATTATTATTTTGTTATAAAAATATGTAAAAAATAGAGAGTTGATGTGACTAAAATAAGCCGATAAATAATTAATTTGTGATGTTGTCAAACTAAGCCTAAGTAAGAGCATCTCCAATGATTTGCCCTTGGAGCTATTGCTATAATTTGGTAGCTAAAGAAGAAAAGTGGTGCTCCAATGGTCACGTATGGAAGCTGCCATATGTGCCAACTCAGGCAAAACCTCCCTCCCTCCCTCCCAGCAAAATAGATAAACTTTTATAAAATTGTTAATTTTGCAAAACTAAACACAGAAACTAGTATATTCGGGATGACTGACCAGTTGTTTGAATAAATCAGTTTCTGTGTTTGATTCTACCAAAATAACATCTAACCATTAGAGTACCATTGCTATAATTGTACCATTTTTTACTATTCATTATCAAATTGTAGCAATAGTTATGCTATTATAGCATTTGTCATTTGAGATGCTTTAATAGATTCAACAGTGTAGTTGGTTTGGTCTCGTTAAGAAACAGACTATTTTAATAATCTTTTCACTTCTTATGAAAAGTAATGTAAAAAAATAGAAAGAGTGATATGACAATTTATAATGACTTTTTAATTTTTTGACTAAAATACTTAGTCTCCAAACATGACCTAAGACTCCCTCAACCCAGTAAGAGATCAGTAGTTTGTCTCTACATATATGAATAAAAAAAGCTAAGAATAATAGCTAATTACTTGTAATCTAATGACATCATCCTAACCCTCGAAATATTAGGGATTCAAATATTGTTAAAAATATATTGTAGTTTTTTATTCACTCTTGTATAGAGAAATTTACATTTTAAATTAATTTGAACTATATATTTATTTTTTTAATAAATTTTTGAAGATAAATTATATGTACCTTACGAAACTCGTCACAAAAGCCTCATTGGTAAACATCTAAATTTTTTGAAATTAAGATGCTTTGCAATAGTCCATTCTTAATGTTGCAATGGTGGGTTAAGAGCACAAAAAATTAAAACATTTAAGTCATTAAAATGATTAGAAAAAATTAAAAATGTCATTAAAAAAAGCCAATAACAAACCCACACTTCATCTTGTAATGATTAAGTTTGAA